AAACTCATCTTCCATCATAACACAATCAAGGCCAACAGGGTTTTTCTTCTGGCTGCACAAACTATTGGCTGAGGCACTTTTCTGCAATGATCTCAGATGATGAGACAGAGAAGTACTCAAATAGAGATATGCACAAACAAAAACAGAACACCATTTTCAAGGATAAATTAGGAAATGGAAAGTAGTATATTATTATTTTAGAGAAACTGATTATAAGGAACTGATTATATATATTACTTTTCATCATTTAGATCTATGGTTACTCCCTGTATTATATTGACTTGCCGTATTATATGTTGCTTCCAGCCAACATAATGTCTATCCTTGCAACTAAAAGTCACAAACTGAGGCATAACAGGTGATGTGTCACAAGTAGAGTTTGCCCCAAAATGCATTTGCCAATATGTCTGCATTATCTTTCAAGAAACTTTATAAGAGTAAACAAACTATTGGCGTGTGAACTGGCTGGACAGCATTTAATACAGTCCAGATTTACAAACTTAGTCTAATACTTAATGGACACGAAACAAGTAGTGGTTTAAAAATTTAACAAGACTCGTCTCAGATTTGAAAACCATTTAGTTGAGCTAGTTGACATCATGTACTGTGGAGATCATAGCTATATTGAAGACCTAGCTCCAAGTTCCTTTGGGACAATAGGGCTACTGCCGTGCCGACCAAATGGTACACTAGTGCTGAGCTCAATCTTAGTTCAGGTTGTGCAGCCAATCCATTGACAACACCATTCTTGACACTGTTCTCCTTTTTCCAGGCTTAAGATCAAACAGATAAGAAAATTGATTGTTAAATAGTCCATGTTATGTGACCCCAACACTATTGGCATATGTTATTTCATCAAGGATAAGTTTGGAAACAGAGCATCTAGTATTGAGGTAAGCATATCTATAAAATCAGTGCCATAGTAAGACTCTCAAAGATAGGTCAGTCAACTCAAAGTAGAAGAGCATGAAACAATTTTCTTGGAACTTTGTATTATGACCATACATGCAAAAGAAAAGGTCTACTCACATTTTTGCCATTTTCTGGACGTTGTAAATTCTCTTGTTTCCTTATGCCAACCAATGATCTAAGCCATTTTGAAGAAATACCCATGATATGTTTCAGTTAAGCTTCAGATGACAATGACCTGCCAAAAAAATGACAATAAAGTTAGGATATAGTCAAAAGTTTGCTATTCTTCTCTGCCATGACAGATGACAGATATGAGCATCAAATATATCAAATCAGAGTGCTAGTTAGGAGATCATATACCTACCTAAAGTTCAGAACCAATTTTGTGGCAGAACTAACAAAGTTACAAAAAGAATGGCATAATTGCAAAAAGAAAGCAAACTGCAAATTTTATGTGACTTGAATACTTCAAGCTGAAACTCATTTGTTGGTATTAAAACTAAGATTGTCAAATCAAGATTAAAATTGAGATTGGCATGAGGATTAGGATCAAGATTCAGCCAGATCCTGAAAGGGTTGGATTAGTTTTTCTCGGAGTAATATAAATTAGCTGAAAATTAATCAAAATCCATTAGAGAACTTTTTGAACAAATTGGAAATTAGACAAAGTTAGCTGTAATCAACCAGAAACTGATTGCAATCAACCAAGACTGGCTGATTTTTCAAATTCTTTCAATGTTCTAGTTTCCATTCTGACAAATGAACCATGATGCTAAGCGTGAATCATCACCCTTAAAGCTAATCAAACTAAATATGAAGACAACTTGGGCAGTACCATCCAACAACATGACACTAGAATTGTCTGGTGCAGATGCACTAGCTTTTGGTACAAAGATAATATCTGATGAAATTCCTCCGCTATAAAAAGTTCTCCTGGATCGAAATCATCAGTATTTTGGAAAATCAAGTCAGCTGCATGGAATTGTTACTGTGGAAACACGTACTCGATGCAACAAACTCTATTTTAGGGTTGGGTTAATTTATGTTAACGTCCATAATCATCTTATTAGCTAATCTTATATTTCTGGACTTTTTGTTCAATTTGTTTTAATCTTACTTTTACATTATATATAGTCCAATACAAAGTGTTTTTGGTCCTTTTTGAGCCGATATAGGAGTCAAAATTGAGAAGTGATTAATTAGAGTTAAGACTAATACACCTTGCTAAAGACTTGGACTTCAGTCAGAGGCCACCTTCCACCTCCTTGAAGCCATCTCAGTAAGTCCCAAAACCTAACTCTAGGCTAATAGGATTCCATGGTACATTAATAATGGATTATTTCTGTCAAAGGAAGAGGTTATGAGTAATTTTGTTATGAAACAACAATGTGTTCTCTTGCTGAATAATAGCCCACCTTGAGCCCTTCTGAGATTCAGCTTATGCTAGAGAAGGCTCAGTCATACCACAAGAGAAACATTTACATTTTTGGTTGTGTCATAAAGGGAAGCCTTCTATTTAAGGATAGCTTTCAACCGTGCTCTCCTGTTTTGCTTTTTCCTGATGAGTAACGATATGTACTGCGACTCTAAGTGTGATTTAAAGCACAAATCATCAACGTATCATGCATCAAGGTGGTGAAAGGGGCTGGGGTTGGAGATGGTGTGCTTTTGGAAGTGCACCACGTCCATGAATCATGACTTTAGTCGTATAATGAGCTTCGTTATGCAGCATTTTTGTTTTCCACCAGCATATTTAGTGTATTTTTAATCAGTTATCACTATCTTTCCATTCTTCAGACAAAGAGCCTCTAAATGAAGAAAAATCTGATCCATGGGGATCAAGAAAGGTTCTGTTATTGAAGGAAGTTTTCAGTGCACATGATAAAATCGGTCATTTATCAAAAAGACCAACTGATATGGACTACTTGGTTAAGAAAGAATCTAAATAAATATGGAAGGGTGGGAATTAGAAACCTGACAACCTGACAGGATTATCAGACAAGTCCATTCTTTTAAATTCTACGTAAGTGATGCATAGAATTTTCAGCAAAAAGACAGAAGAAGATGCGAAGCGATCACCAGATCCAAAACGGGTGTAACGCATGAGACAACGATCAAAAAGACAAAAATGCAAGCAACTAGATAAGACTACAAATAAAACATAATCAAGTAATCCAGTGAGAATTCTCTCGATTTCACCGTGAGAAGCCAAATCCAGAACAAGTGACTGGAGTTCGTTAAGAATTTGCAGACGGCTTACATCAAAAGATGGGGCCCTGAAAGAAACTCTTACTCAAGATGTAGCCGAATCTACTCCAAAGCATTCCAGATCGCAACGACCATTTCACTTCAGAACAAGCAAAATCCGACTTTTAGCCTAGGACTGGCAGCTCATACTACTCATCTAATCTATCGAGGAACCAAAATCCCGGGAAAACAGCTTTAAAACAAACAATTCCATCCAAGGAGTAAAAAGGGGGAAGGAAGCACAAACGACCAGGATTCGGCCGGAGTACCAAGAAGATCCCACGCGGCCCAATGCATAAAGGAGATGAAACCGGGAGTCCGAATCGGACGGCATCGAGAAGGGGGGAGATGAAGCACGAGCGCAGATCCGACCATACGCGAGTCGACACGAAATCCAACAAGCGGGAGGGAAGGGATAGTTTTGGAGAAGGGATTCGAATCCAGAGCGCACCTCAGGAAATCGATTCGTGGGATCTACTCCTATGGCTTGTTCGAGCTTTCCCTGCTCCTCCTTTTGCTGGTGGCCGGCAATTTCCCCTGTCACCCTGTCTCGCTCAGACGCTTTACTTCCTCTTCTTTTGCACCCTCCCGTAGTCGAGCAGTCGCTGGAGATCGTTTTGGTTTTTGGTTAGAGGATTAAAAGCCAAAAAGGCGACCTTTTTATTTGCTCGTCTCTGCAATATGTAAACTGTCATTTCTACCCCTGTATATTGCGTACAATTGCTGATTTGAGTACTTTCGTTATATTTATATTCATATCAACGCCCAATTCATCAGTTTCTTAATCCAACTAAGTGGATTTGATATCCAAAAATAATAATATGCTACCATTTAAGAATCGAAATTATATATGTACATATTAATTTCATTTCTAATTATCAATTCGGGCTAATTATAGGTTATCCCTTATAATTCGATTTTATTAGCATCATAGTTTTTGTACTTAAAAAATTTATATTATCATTTTTATAATTTTAAAAATAAAATAAATAATCATATTTACGGTAATATTAGAAAACATAATATATGACATCACGTGTTAGATCGATACGAAAGTGATAAGCAAAAAGATAAATTTAATATTATTTTTATTTCTAACGATTTTATCGGTAAAAATATAATTTTAACATCCTACGTATTGAAAATGAAAGGGATATTGAAATTACTTTTTGCTCATCACTTTCGCATTGATCCAACGCATAGTGTTGCTCATCACTTTCGCATTGATCCAACGCATAGTGTCACATGTTGTGTCTTTTATCAATGCAGCTGATGACGCTAAGACAAATAAAATTAGATACTAATAGAATTCATGAGATAATACGTAATTAGTCACATCAATTCACTCCATGGAGTCAACCTAGCTCGTTTCTTGAACGTCATCGTCAACTCTAATACCAATCAATCTTAGGATTGATATTAAGGTTAAATAAAATTTTTGATCTCCTATCATACTTGCTCAATCATATTAGGACACGAAGTATTATTGATCATCCCGATCATCGTATATACATTCAACTGTATAGAGGAAAAAAAATCAAATGTCAAAAATGCAGATAGGAAGAGGATGGAATTTGATTGCAGCCCATTAAAAACAAAAAAAGAAAAAGAAATGAATAAGGGAAAAGGTAATGGCATCAATTTAGTGAGCTCTAAGGCAAGGGAAACAAAAAGAGGCAACAACCATTGACAACTACAAATCTCAAGGCAAATTGTGAGCATTGTATGACAGTACATACTGCTTCAAAAGAATTGCTTGTTTGCTCTTCGTTCAAACAAAAACCAAGCATTTCATAAACTATAAAACAATTATGAAAACAAGGAGTTAGAAAAAGGAGAAGTATCAGCAAAATAATCATTCATCATTTATGTATTTATGTAGTTCATCATAACCATACAATACAGATCCATTCCTCGATACAAGAAGAGTGAACAGCATGTAGAAAACAAGGCTCCAGTGAGCATCAACCAAAATCAAAGTAGCCATATAGGTGGAGTGGAACATTAGTTAAACTATGACTGTTCATTAGGTACTAATTGCTACCATGAGCATACCATAAGAACACGTTCATACACACCATTGAATGCAACTTTACCAGGGGCTGGAAGCAGCAGTCACTATCGTTAGTCGAGGTTTAGAGAAAGAAAGTTTGATCGATTGTTCTTGATGGGATCTCTATTTGCCTTTACCCATCAAAGTCAAATAAGCAGACCTACGTAATACCGAAGATAAGAGAAAAAAAGAGAGCCAGAATCACAGTCAGCCGTCGCATCATAGATTCTATGCAACCAGAACTGCAGGTGTCGATGTAAATGCTACTGCTGGTTCGATCAGCCATGATAATTCAGGGACAGCATTTGCTGCTGAGGATAGATTGGACAAACTAAGCTCATCGGATGATTCTGTGTAGTGGAACTCGATCTGAAGGCGGTGATGCAGAGGAGTGGAAGATACCCGTCCTTTCTTGATATCAGCTTGCAGTTCCCTGATTGGAATTGCTGCTAAGAAACTCTTGATATACTCCTTGCATGACTCCTTTCCCATAAACACAAGGTCCCCCTCCACAGCATTTCCTTTTTCCTGTTTCAAGTTACCGGCAACACCGTGTCCTACTGCTGTGGCCTCACCGTTAACAGTCTTGCTGTCACTAGGAACCTTATGAATGGATGTGCTGTCATCAAACTTTAGTATGTATGCCTGTTGGCACCCCTCGTAGAGCCGCTCGCCGAGTGTGTCTAATATATAGTAAGCATCATGTTCAACCTTGAGGACGAAGAAGTGATCATTCCAACTTACTATATAAAGCATAGGCCTTCCATCACTCAAGCATTCTGACCGGCTGATCTCATCCCAGATGCTGTCGAAGGACATAGCTCCATGTAAGAAGTCAAAGCCACTGTTGCTGTCAGGGGTATCAGGATGAAAGAATCCAATGAAAGATTTACTTGGAACGACAGAAATTGGTCGAATCTTAGCTTGAAGAACTGTCTCAAGGTCAAAGTGTTTGTCAGGAAAATGTTCCTGATATGCCTGGTTCTCGCAAAGGTTCCTCCACTCAAGAGAGCCTTCTCGGATAAGGCTATCGAACTGGGACTTGAGAGGCATCATATCCTGGTTCCTGTGAAACCAGTCAGCAATGACAGCGACAAGAGCAGTGCATGCACTCTCACCACAGGCGCGTTCGCTCCTCTGATCAATGGATGCAAAGAAGACCTGAGTGACAAGCTTCATGTGCCCATCGCGACTCACTAACTCCTTTGTTTCCCAGTTGCCTATGACAAAGTAGTCATCACCAAAATCAGATACTGATGATCGGTTCAAAGGACTATCATCATCCCCTTCGCGCCTCTGCAAGCAAATCATGTAAACATTTTTAGTTTCCCTTACAAATAGGTTACGAAATCAAAACTAAAAAACCAATGTAGAACATTTTAGCCAGTAAACAATCCAAATAACATTCAATGACCGTCCCACATCCGGGGGGAACTCCAAAAGCCAATTACGACCACGAGACAATGTATAGGCAGACCACATTGCTACTTAACGGAAATGAATAGTATGGTAAACCATCTAAAGCTCTTATTCATCAAGAATGGGTAGACAGATCAGCCTATATTAGTACCAAATAAGAGAATCAATATATCTATCGATCAAGATAAAAGGAATTGATGGAAAATAAACCAAGAAAATCAGTGAGAAGCATACGCCTGCAAGAGATTCATCAGAACTCAGCTGCCGCCGATCATAGTCAATGTCATCACCTCCCTCTTCATATGCTTTCTTTAGCAATGGCTCTCCTTTAGGCTTAGGTGATCTAAAACTCAACTTCCTCTTTTTCCAAGGAAGAATCCTCCTCTTTAACACAGAAAGGTCAGGAACAAATAACATTGTGTCCTCCACATGCGAACAGCCAATATCTGATCTTCGATGATTGTAGCAGACCAGATCTTCATAAACTCCATTATCTATCCTCGTCCCATGTCCAATTTTATTAACAGATTGTAACGTACCATAGCTGAATGACTTCCTCATACTAGAATCCTCTTCAGTGTCGTCTAATTCATCAAGATCATCATCAGGGGAGTCTAAATCAGAAGGATAGGTATATTCTGCATCATCACTCCTAGCAGAGCACTTTCCCTCGCTACCATCATCATCTTGGCATGTCTTTTTAGTCTTCAGGGTTGACACAAACTCAGTCAAAATTTTCACCTTCCTCAATCCGGCTTTAAGAGCAGATAGCTCATCTTTCTCAGAAGGAAGAACATCTCCAAAGGGAGGTGATAAGGGAGAAGTCAACGACCTCTGTATCATATCAGAAGAAAACTGGGAACTTCTCAATTCCAATATACTTAGAGCCAGCTGCAAAATGAACAACTTCACAAGTCACATTCTTAAGTTTGCCAAAATTCTTCTAACGAGGAGAAAAAAATAAATACAGGACACAAAAAATTAGGACTTAGTGAAAGAAGAAATCAGATGGGCATGGGCGTGCTTAGGAAATTGTTTCATGAGAATGGATAAACAAAAACACCACCATTCCCAACATTTCTTGGTGAATAAAAAGAAAAGAAATATCCAGGATATTGGCCATCTAGCCTTACAAGGTAAAGCTGCATACATCTCCCGCGTTGGCGAGAGCACAGACTGAGACATAATGTACGACATAATTCTAGATTAATGTCATCAAGCATCAAAATCTAAGAAGTTTGTCAACATACATAAAGTGAGAGATGAGATTCAGTGACACCAGGAAGCAGCAATGGAAGGTTGAGCTCAGTCTCTTGTTCAGCAGTGGATGTGAATTCCACTATGTTTAGTGAAGCCATTCCAAGAACAGATTCCTTGTTCTTGGCACCATGGTTCAAACCCTAAATCAGAACGAAATCAGTTTAGCTCCTCCACACAAAATTCAACTGAACTTTTAATAGAAATAGACATCCCAAAAATGAAACCATCACAGTCATACGCAAAACAGAAGAGAGAAAAAACAGTAATAAACTGAAAAGTAAAGCAGGTCTATATGCCATCAAGTAAAAGAACTGCATATCCTCCCTTCCAAAATGGCAACAATGAATCAGAGCAAGTCAGAAAGTAAGTTAGCTTAATCACTTTGAAAGTAAATTGAATGAAGAAGATATTAGCAGGTTAGAAAACTTTGGTAGCTTTGAACTAAAAGTTACAAATTTAATTATTAAGCAATCAAGCTCATCATGCTTTGTTGCAGCACATTTTCGTGCTAATTATCATCATGTTAGGAATTACTCATGATGATTTCTCTTGAGTGGATTTCTTTAATTTGGAACTATTATTCTCATTAAAGGCAATATATAGTCTAAGCATATCAGCATTCATTCTCAGGGAACAATAAAAAAGTATGAAAAATGGCCAAAACCTTAATTCTCAATTCAAATAAAAATAACAAATATTAGAGTGTACAAGCTGTTGGTGGATATAGATAGCTATTAGGCCAAACCAAAAACTAACTAAATAGAAACAGTTGACCTTTTTTTCACAAAGCAACGGCCGATCTCGAGCTGTAAGATGCAATTAGAAATCCAACAACAGGTGAAACTTGACAAAGACAACTAATTAAAAGATTCATCAGGTTTCTAAATAACTGATCAATAAGTAGAGAACAATCAACACTAAGGAATTAATAATTCACAAAATACAAAAGATATTTAAACCGAACAGGGTAAACTTTTTCGTGATGTTAGAGCTGCCCTGACACTCATAAACCCATGTGAAAAAGAAATAGAAGGCATGATCACACAAAAAAATTCTTGTTTCTCTAACATATACATGGAGGATTCCTTAGTTAAAAAAGAAAAGAAGAAATTTTTTAAAAGAATATTATGAAAAGGAAGTAAGATAAAGAAAAAACTTTCTGGGGGGAAAAAAAGGAAAAGGGAAGAAAAAGATTAAAGAAAATAAGAACAATAAACTAGTACACAACACCTAAAAGGCATGTCCAATATAAAGCTAGTCATTAGGTATTAGATATTACAAAGTTGTAAACGCATGCGACGGGGAGAATGGAGGAAGCAAGAAATAGAATCCCCATATGAAGGAATCGATTGTCTTCGATGATTTCAACACAACACGAAAAACGATGGCCCATAGGACACATCACAACCTCCACTAAAAATCATCCAAAAGCAATTTTTTAACAGCCTATTATCAAACCATATAGAAGGTTTAAGAACCAGCATTAATTTCAACAAAATTCGCCTAATGATGTAACCCAGAAGCAAAGTATCAGTGAGGAAGAACCCCGGTAAAAGAACAGTAAAAACTACCAATTTGTTGAGATAACAGTGCAAGAAAACAACAGTAGATGAAAAACGAACGGGGGAATCAGAGAACTGCAAGGGCCCATTTTTTGACTCACATTGAGCACGATAAATGTGATCTCCCATGGCTGGAACGAGCTCTCCTTGTGAGGAGTCAGGGTACAGACGGTCTCAAATTCCTCATTCCACTCCACAAGACCCCCATCCCCCACCTCTTCCTCCCTCGTCCGGTTCCTCCTCGCCGTCCTCCTCAGCGAGCTCAGTGCCAACTTCGGCCCCTTCCACCTCACCTCCACAGCCACTTTCCTCCCCGTCCTCGCTACCTCATCCCCACCGCTCACCCCTTCAACCCTCCTCACGACGAGCCTAACCCGAAACTTCTTCGATAATAGCGGCGGCCATGGCCGCCACCGCATCATCCTCGACACCATCCCCGGCGTTAATCCAACCGCTTCGGAGCCCAACACGTGAACTGCCACCAGAAGCCAATCTCACGGACGGAACGCCCGAGAAAACCCCCCCGATCGCCGGAGGAACGCCGAATCTCCACCGAGATGAGCCCAAATACCTCGAGAAAAACCACGCCTTTCCGTTAAAACCGATGAAGGATGGAAAACTCGATAGGTTTTGAATGAAAAAGGAAGCGTTTTGGCGGAGATTCAAGGAGAGATCGAGGGAAGGAGGGGGAAGAGTGAAGAAGAACAGCGAACATACAAAGGGATGGAGACTTAAGCCATGAGTGGAAATATATATAAGAGCCGCATTCGCCGTCACGCTGTCGTTAACAGGTTTCTGTGATTCCAATGCAGGTTGTAACGGCTCTTTGACTTAACGGTAACGGTGGACAAAGTCGTCTATGGAGCCATAATAATAATAATAATAATAATATCCATTTACATTCGATATTACTATTATATATATATATATATATATATATATATATATATATATTTATATTTATATTTATATTTATATATATATCTCGATCATCCAACGTGACATTGGGGACGATCCAATTAGTTTCCACCCGAGATAGAAATAGGTTGATAGATAATGTAAAAACCTGATCATCCCTAGGGTGACAAATCAATCGAAAAATGATATAACCATTATCGATGATATGATTATGACACAAATATGTATATCCTCCTTGTTCTCTATATTGTCACTTGTGCTGATGTCCCTATATGATGTCGAGGATATAAATTTTATCCTAGTCGCATATGTATATTTGAATATAAACTATTAAAAATTATATAAAATTAAGATGGATGAAAATTATTATCCTTATCTCAATTTTATTTATTCGAATCATAATAATCTAAATTATTTAAAAAAATAATTTTATTATCATACGAAGATTTATTTTTTATATGAAATATTATCATTAAATAAGATAGGAAGAGAGATCATGTCCAATGTCTATGAGCTTTCTTCATGCAGGATAAACTTGAGGAACATGTTGGCCATCATCCCCATACCTTCATGATTCAGAGGTTGACATATGGAGGACTGCTTCATCAAGCAATGGAAGCAGTGCACATCCTTCACAGGACGCTGCAATGGCATTCGTCAACGGTTCGGTTTTGAGGGGAACAGCAACGAAAGGTGGAGAGCTTCTGCCATGGCTCCTTTAATTTCCACTGCTGCAACAAGTGACAGACAAGATGATTCAGCTTCCTTGACTTTTTACTGGTGCTGTTGGGCTGCCACTGTGCACTTCATCTGCATCTTCTCGGATGTCCGTCACCACTGAAAGATATCAGCACGAGAGTTGCAGCTGAATCTGATAACATGATCCTACCAGATGTTTAGTTTTAATGCTTGTGCTGGTACGGTCGCAGCATCATCCTTCTATGAACCTTGATGTGATTCATGGTATCATCCTTCATCCATTTTCGATAAATAATTAAATTAAGATATTATAATCTCTAACCTCATCCAGGATCAACTTCGTCATTAGCGGTAACTTTATGATTTAATGTTACTCCACATTTTTGTTATAATTGGATAATTTTTGGATTTTTTCTCCAAAAAATCATCATCATGTTGTGACGCTCTATCTTTCTACGGTTTAAACTTTTTAGGAAGATTTCTTTTTTCTCATCATCATCATAGGAACGATGTTTGTATCGTAATATGAATCATGCTAAATTGTCTGTGTTTGTTTTATGTTTTTATCATTTGATTTTAGTATCGACTTCGTCGAAGAAAAAGTTCATTTGTGAAGCTTAAGTGTTAGCAATGCACACAAGAACAAGTAGATCTACATTCAAATTTGTGCTTCTTGACAAGTCCATTATTTTTAGGTGCCATGGGGAACAAGGTTTCCTTTCTCCTGTACTAACTCCAGGAGAGCATGTATCTCTAGAAGGAAGAGAAGGAGTGCTTACAGCTTCCACAACCACATGAACATGTTTTGGCAATATGCTGCTCTCTGACATCATGGCCACAGGTGAAGCATGTCAAAGTCTCCACAGCTTTGGTGTGCACACTTATGAAAGAGAAGTCCTCATTTTGTTGGCATTGACAAAGGATATGCTCATATGATGACATGTTATGAGCACCTTGAAGAAGCTTTCAGCTTACCTGTGGCTGTGGCAATTGCTTTGCCATGAAACAAAGATATATGTTAGCAGCTTTGAGTACCTAATGCATCACTAGATGAAGGCGGCTTTAGTAATGGAAAATTAGTGGCCACTCTTTTTCATGCCTAAACCATTGAGAAAATTATCATACAAAGATTGAAAAACATAGATGCAATTATTTGTGGTCTGGCATTTGCTCAAGTTAATGTGTACTCAAGTAATGTGTCATCATATGTTTTGGTACTTATCCCATTCCTATAGCACCTTCAAGTGTCTTTCTCCCAGCCACTCTTTTTAGTATTTATTTAGAGTAATGGAAGGTGAACAGGTTGAAACCTCATTGATTGATTCATGAGTATTGGGGCCACAATGATTGTGATTCTTGGCATCAAATGTTGTCATGGTTGTGGGAATAATTGGTCTGAATTCTTAAGGTTTATCATGTGAAGTGCCATAATAGGTGGAATGTAGAGAAACACTTGATCCTTGTTTCTTTATCATAAAGTTAAAGAAGAGGCAATGTGGCAACTCCTTGTTAGATATTGATCTCTCATGAGCAAGTTGTCATTCAGAAACAGGTTATCAGGAGGAGGTGAATAAAAGATCTGAATCCTTCTCAGGTTCAATGAGCTGAAGCAAACCATGAAAACCACATGATTTTGAAATGAAATCAATAAGTCCTCTCAATTGGACCTTTTATCAGGATTTTTACTGTCAGATCATTATTTGCAGTTCTCCTCATTGCTCAAAATTATGCATTTGGTCTGCAGTTTTATGTCTGCTACATGTACTTTTTTGAGAGAGACAAAATTATTGTATGCACTTGACATCAGATTTTATTTTTCTTTTAATCATGAGAAAAAAGAGAAATCTTTGTTCCATAAAAACATTTATTTAATATGACAATGTCAGTTGATTTGATGCTGTTTGAATTTGGAAGACTATTATGATTAACAAATGATCAGTGGGTGTTTTCTGTGCAACAAAGTATATTTAATCAACTCAAAGTATTTACTGGTGATATGGAAAAGTACCAAACCCATCAACTAATCCAGTCACCTGAGTCGAATAGGCCACCTAAACAAAAGTATGGAAGCTCTCACTAACTCCCTGTAGCCGATCGATAGGAGATCAGCCCATGATCCGTGCCTGCCTCGGCTTCCCAAAGAGAGTCCGTAAGAATCACTCCTCGCTAATACCACGACGGAAGAAAGGGCCACTCTCCCCACATTAATGGTCAATGATATTATTCGCCTCCCCCGCAACCCCCTTCCGGATAACGAAAGGAGAGACCACTCCCTACCTAACACAAAGCAATAAAAAAACCGAACAAGGAATGTCATCCCAATGACCCAACGTCGATGTCGGCCTTATGACTACGTGATCGTAAGCCGATAAGCCACCTCCAATAATGGCACCTAACGAGTAGGGTATGGGGACTCTCACCAATCCCTGTCCTCGTCGCCAGGAGCCTAAGTATAAAAACCAGGCCCCATGCCTAATAAGAGCAAACGAGTGAACACTACACTCTCCTAAATACAACTAACTCACTCATTCCTCATGCCTCTAACTTAATCATTGGAGAGTTCACGTTGAGATCTCCCTCCGAAGTCGACCTACCGTGCAAGATCACTGGCGCAACTGAGGAGGCATTGCAATGTGACTCCCCTATAAGAAAGATGGTCTGTCTTCTCAAATCAGTTTGCTCCCTTCATAGGCAGGAAGCTCTCTACGCCCGTGTCTCGGGCTACCTCTCCACAGTAGTTCTCTGCCACACACCATCTCTCCACAATGGTTCTCTACGTTAACTCTCCAAGAAGGACCTGCACTTTCGACGTTGGACCAAGCCGAACCGACTCATCAATCAATCATCGGTCTCAGTGTAATAACGATCGGTAACAAATCTTCCAATTAGTTTTGCTGTGGAACATTGAGCTTGGCAACAATAATATAGCACAAATCTACTGCTTGTCTAACTTCATTCATTCTACAAATAACAACACTTACAACTTGTTTTGTGATGCAACATTGAGCTCATAAATCAGCAGTAGTAGCTCAACTTGGCTGAGATATATCATTTTAGATCATTTTCTTTGCCTAATTTCCCTAATTCAAGTTAAACAAGGAGAAACATAGTCCATACAACAACAAAAGAAAAGGCAATTGTCCAGAGAACCAAACAACAAGATTGTGTGTGTGTGTGTCTGATGCTTTGTCTGAAATGTCTGACTTAACCAAGGTCTTGATGGCATAGGTTTGGCCAGTGATCTCAGCCCCCCACAGAAGTGAAACAACACACCAACAATTGGCAAAGGATCTGTGAGCCACTTCAAGGCCAAGATCAAGAGGACCAGAGAAAGGTCTCCCAATTGCAGATATCACTACTTAGCCTTATCTCCTGATTTAGTCACTTATTTTGAGTGGGGTGGCAGTTTCCTATTGATAGTGACAATGATGTGCCAAGTTATCAAAAAAGAAACCTTTTGACTATTTTTCTTGGTCCAAATCTTCAGCAACATGATGAGATATCCATGAATCATCAAGCACAAACTATACTTTCCATGCTACCTAGTTGTGAGGACAACTCAACTAGAGAATGCTAGAACAACTGTCAAAATCTTTAGCACTATGATGTGATCATCCAGTAAGTCAACTGGCATCTAACTTTTTTTATGAGTAATAAAACAGTAAACTTTGTGTTAGAATAGGAACAGATAAGATCATCTAATTGCACTTTCAACATTGCAGAGTCTCCAGAGCATCCATATTCACAACTTCAATTGATATTTGAGAATATATATATATAAAATTTTAACCTGAAAGCAGAGAGACTGTTTCTGTGACTCAACATTTGATCGATTAGTTCACAGAAAAGTGATCTTATTATGGTGTCAAGGTCGATCTCATCACCTGTAATGCTTAAACTCTATTTTTTGAGTTATTTAAATTCTTTACTTTTGCAGGGATATATTGAAGAAGATGATGAATACAAAAATTTAGATTTAAGATAAATGAAAATTCTATTTTCCAAGAACCAAAGGACAGAACAAAGGTGAAGGACAGCCACTAAAACAGAGGGCAAGTGGGCAGTCCAAAGATACAAACAGAGAGGACATGAGAGACCCACTTGAAACAGCCTCAAGGCAGAAGCAAGTGGTGAGGGCAGCAGCCATGACCCCCACAAGACAACACAACCCTTGGCCCACAAGATTCAGAATGTGAAGAACATGGAAAGAAGCAACAAGGGAATTGAAGTTGGACAAATTGAGATGCCTTCCTCCATGGGAGACACACAGAACAGTGTGAGCCTTGGACTGGGGTCCCAAGTTGCCAGTAGTTCTATATCTCTGTCTTCATGTCTGAATTCATTAATAAGATAAAGCCAGCTATCAAATTCATGGCTTTGACCTATCAAAAGAACTTGACTGTTCATAAACTTGGTAAGTGGATGAGTCATCATTTGTAATAAATGCAAAGTTGCTACAGCCTTTTATAAAAGCTTCATCATCAAATGAAGAAGCATTTCTTGCATCTAAAACAGGAGATTGGAAAAATTTTGAATTAGATAGTCAATTCAGCATGCACTTAGAGCTTGTTCTGTGCCAATCATGAGCTTTTAGAAGTGAAGTGCAACATTTTAGATCCAATTTACACTCAAGTAAAAAATCTGCTGCTCTTTATTTCCATCCAAACTATTAGCCAAACACCTAAAAGAATAATCCTTTCTCCAGTTTAACCTTCTTTAGACTTAATATATAATTATAATCAAAAGAATGTTCCATCTCCACTCCTTTATGCTCTTTTCTTATTAAGGAATATCAAATCATGACAATTTGGTTGCGGAACAAGTCATCCATTCTTATTCTGTTCATCAGTTCAAGAAAAGAAGTCTCTGCGTTGCAGGTTGATTCCTGGTAATCCCTGGCCTGCATTTATTGGATGTGGAGATCACCTTCTCATAGGAACAGCACCTGCATTTGTGAGCAATCGAACAACGCCATGGCACAATCCACAAAGAGATGATCACCACTGCTTTCGGTGGACTTGTGGCCATGTTGTCATCTAAAGCTTGGAGCAGAGCTGAGAGCCTGTCAGTCGGGGTGAGGAGGACAAGCAGACCTAATGGGAGCAATGATGGCTCCAGTTGGATTACCTCCTCTGAGTGAGAGACAAGATGACAGAGGCAGAAGGTTCGAGGAACACCTCCACAACACACACACAGTTCCTCCTCTTTGACTCCGTAAAGTCCAATGGCAAGTGACTTGTGACACTCGCGTGGATGCAGCATCCACCGAAGTTGGATTCAGTAACGTGCCCACGACTGGATCCGTTCAATATCGGATCCAGAGAGGGGCCGCAGTCCACACACCCGCAACATGTGCGCTCGACATCCGACCCGTTATCACAAACGTTGGATTCGGATCCGTACTCGCATCTTACGGTTCTCAGTCGATTTCGGCTCGGATCCGAGTACATAAGCCACGTTTCACTTGGTGGAGACGAGCAGAAAGACGAGGCGGGAGCGGGAAAGGGAACGAGCTCTGCTTCCCTTCGCTGCTTCTGCGATCTAGCAAAACCCTAATCCCAGATCGGCGCAAAGAACCCTAGGGGATCGTGTCGGGGTCCGGGAGGTAACGTTTCTCTTCTTTCATGCTCTGTTTTCTTTAGCACTATAGTCTGTACAATTTAGATTTGGGGCTGCCCGTTTCTTGCGCCAGACGCTTTACTTTCGTTCGTGGTGCGGCTCAGTTTGCCTGTTTCTTGTTTTGATATTGTTGCCTAGGGATTCTGCTTTCGATATCTGTGCTGATGTTTCATTGTTGAATTTCTATTAAATTTTCCTGTCTTGTTATATCTGATGTTTCGATCGAATCAGAAATATATGGCATGCGAGAGATTTGGATGTATAGCCACGAGTTAATCAAGTTCTGGTGTATCGAGTATCGCTGATTAATCTGCAAGTCGAGATTAAATTTATACATTTCTCGGCATAAGATGTGGCACTTCATTTATATGATTGTGGTGTGGTAAGTTCAGTGACATTAATGAAGATAATTGATTTTAGACATGGAGAATCGCCGTCATTTAACTGATATCAAGTTGAGTGGTCTCGATCACATCATAGGCTTTGCTGGAGGAAAGTGACGAAGAAAGAATTTTTATTTTTACATACAAAAGTTCTTGAGAAAAGGTCTTTGAATACTTTGCATTTGATGCTTCGTCCACATAATTTGCCACATTAGTCGAACATGGCTACATGAGTTTAATGTGATCTACATAATTTTTATTGATTTTTCTCAACTGCCACATTGACAAAGTGATCTACAAAAGACAACTGTTCTTATATAACTTGAAACTTAGCTGTGAAATCTAATGAATACTTAAAAGTACAATGTCATTCTTGGAAGCTTGAATGCACGTCATACAAACTGTCTGCAGTGGTGTCATCAGGTCTTGATAATGTAAGGGAAATTAGCAACTTTTTGAACAAGTAGAGTGTGCTTTTGCAATGCCTTGTTTGCATGGACTAGTCCAAGAGTCCTGAATCTGTGTGGTTGTCACATTCTGTGTTTTTTACAATGCTTGTTTGTGTAAAGTTTCATTGTCGTGTACTATGTTGCATCAATTAATCTAAGGTTAGGTATGTAAATCTGATATACTTGTAAAATGGGGCATGCTTTTACCCATGACATGTCTCCTTGATGGTTGAATTCTGCTCTCTCTTAGAGCAAGCACATCATTTCTAGGCTCTAGACCTCAACGTTGTATATGATGTTATAGTTAAAAAATAGTTGAATTGTATACAGTTAAGAACCAATTCAAATTTTGAGTTCTGTAGGCTTTCTGTCCTCGCTGCAAGGTTGTGCAGTTTCTACGCCAGCCTATTGACACTTGAAGCTGGCAAGTTTACATAATTGATCAGGTAATGATGGCAGTTGGGGTTTTAAGTTCACCAGCAAACAGTTTTCAACTTACCTGTTAAGGCAGAAGCCTGAATAGTTGCTTGCTACATTATGTGTTTCTGTGATTCTTAAATCACCAGGCAGCCATGTGTTTGCCTATCTGACTCTGATATCCTTAGTTTTAGCTTTAGAAAGCTTTTTGGATAGCTTAGCTTTAGAAAGCTTTTTGGATAGCCTCCCTCCCTCTTTCCCTTCCCCTATGCATAATGAGACTTGCTAAAATTAGGAACCAAATCTGAGATTATCCTTGCTGTAGAAAGACTGCAGTAGCAGCAGTTTAACGTGCATGGTGCATTTTGGAGATTTATTTATCTAGGACCTATCGGTTTCATGGTGTCTTGCTTCTAATGAGTTTTTAGAGCAAAACAAGCACAGTTGGCCTATTAGCTCAGTTGGTTAGAGCGTCGTGCTAATAACGCGAAGGTCGCAGGTTCGAGACCTGCATGGGCCAAAATTATATTTTTTAGAAATTTAATTTAATTTTTGGCATCAAAACAGGTTCCAAGGAGGAGGTGAATAAAAGATCTGTATCCTTATTTTGAAGTGGAATTAACAAGTCCTCATACTTTTAGCTAGATTTTTATCGTCATATCATTTTTTGCAATTCTCCTCGTTACTTAAAATTATGTTTTTGGCCAGCTGTGCTATATGTACTATTGAGGGAGACATAATTCTTGTATGCACTTGATATCATATTTTTCCTTTTGACCATGAGAAAACAGAGAAATCTTAGCTCCTTCATGATAAAAACATTTATTTAATTAGAAAAAAATTAGCTGATTTGATGCTATTTGAATCTGGAAGACTATAATCATAACATATGATCAATGGGTATCTGTAACGCAGCAAAGTATATTTAATCAATTCAAAGTATTCTACAAGAAGGATCACCTCCAATTAGATTTGCTGTGGAACATTGAGCTTAGCAACATTAATATAGTGCAAATCTACTGCATTATCTTTGTCTAACTTAGATCATTCTCTTCCAACTTGTTCTGTTATGTAACATTGAGCTCAGAAATCTGTAATTGTAGCTCAACTTTGATAAGATATAACAGTGTAGATCTTTTTTTTTTTGCCTAATTTCACTACATGTATTTGTTTCGCATAATGAATCCAGGTTAAACAAGGAGAAACATAGTTTATACACAACAATAGAAAAGGCAATTGTCCAGAGAACCAAACAGAACAAGATTGTCTGTGTGTGCCTAATGGTTTGTCTGAAATCTCTGACTTGTCCATGGTCTTAATGGCATAGGTATGGTCAGTGATCTCAGCACCCCATAGATGTGACACAATACACAATGGATCTGTGAGCCACTCCGAGGCCAAGATCTAGAGGAATATGGGAATTGAAGTTCTACAAATTGAGATGCTTTCTTCCATGGGACACACAGAACAGTGTGAGCCTTGGCTTAGGGTTCCAAGTTGCCAGTAGTTCTATATCTCTGTCCTCATGGCTGAATTCTTTAATAGGATAAAGCCAACTATCAAATGCATGGCTTTGACCTGCCTGTTGCAACAATTATGCAAAAGAACTTGACTGTTCATAATTGGATGTCATCATTTTTAATTAAAACAAATTTGCTACGGCCTTTTATAAAAATTTTTACGGAAGCTTCAACGTCAAGCATGAATTTTTAATGGAGTTCTATGAAGTATTTCCTGCATCTAAATACTTTGAATTAGATGGTCTATTCAGCATGCACTTTGAGCTTGTTTTGTGCCAGTCATGAGCTTTTAGAAGTGGAACATTTCAGACCCAATTTACACTCAAGATGGAACAAAGTGTGTATGAACATGCAAAAATCTGTTGTTCTTGATTTCCATCCAAACTGTTAGCCAAACACCTAAAAGAATAATCCTTTCTCCAGTTTGTTAAAAGAAACAAAAATTAAAGATCCATATCCTTAACATGTCCAAATAGGATAACCTTCTTTAGACTTAATATATGATTCTAATCAAAACAATATCTACATTTGTGAGCAACTGAACAATGCCAAGGCACAATCCATAAAGAGATGACCACCACTACTTCCGGTGGCCTTGTGGCCGTGCGGTCATCTAAAGCCTGGAGAAGAGCTGCGTGGGCTGAGGACGACAAGGAGACCTAATTGGGAGAAATGATGGCTCCATTTGTATACCTCCACTGAGTGAGAGCCATCATAACAGAGAGGGAGAAGATTTTAGGTCCACACACACAGTTCCTCCTTTTGACTCAGTAAAGTCCCAAGGGTAGGTGAGTTGTGACACTTGCATGGCTGCAGCTTCCAACTGATACTGGTGAGGGATGTGGCTTAATTGTCTGGTTTCTGCTCCCAAATTGGTACTGTGTATTTGGATTGCTTTCTTTGACATTGTAGAACATAGGCCTGTCAGCCATATTATAAATTCATTGAGAATCGTCTTGATCGAATGATCAGAAATCCTAAATGAAATCTCTAAAACCATAAATCCTTAAGAAAAGACCCAACATATTCATAAGCTTTATTGGTGAAGGGATGAAGCAAATGAAGTATATGATAATATTTCTAGTTTTCTATGCCAACTCACAAGTCATAGATGTTATTTTAGTTGATGAAAGTTAAGCTATAATACTAATATTAAGCACTTACATTAGAAAGTAGGGATCTAAAACTAAATAGGCTCAAGACTGAAAAGCTTAGGTTTTGTTTAGACAATTTAAACTGAATATAATAAACAGAGTTCTATGTTGTAATTTTCCGACGTTGGATCAGTAAAGTGCCCATTACTGGATCCCTTCAATATCGGGTCGAAGAGGGGCCACGATCCGCACACCCGCAACGCGTACGCTCGACATCCGACCCGTTATCACAGTCGTTGGATTCGGATCCTCCGGTGCTCAATCGAATTCGTCTCGGGTCCCCGGGTACATAAACCACGTTTCACTTGGTGGATGCCGCTGGAGGCAAGCAGAACACGCCGCGGGAGCGGGAAGGAGATCTCCTTTTCCCTTCGCTGCTTCGGCGATCTAATAAAACCCTAAACCTAGATCGGCGATAAGAACCCTAGGGGATTGTGTGGGGATTCGGAAGGTAACACGCGTCTCTTCTTTCATTCTCTCTTTTCTTTAGCTCTATTGTCTGTACAATTTAGATTGGGCGTTGCTCTGTTGTCTTTTCTTTAGCTCTATTCTGCTTATGATATCTATGCTAATGTTTCATTGTTGAATTTCTATTATATTTTCCTGTCTTGTTATAGCTGATGTTTCGATTGAGTCAGAAATATGTGACATGCAAGAGATTTGGATGTAGAACCATGAGTTAATCAATTTCTGGTGTATCGAGTACTGCTGGTTAATCTCTAAGTCGAGATTAAATTGCGTCATTTCTCGGCATAAGATCTGGCACTTCATTTATATGATTGTGGCATGGTTAGTTCAGTGACATTGATGACGATAATTGATTTTAGACATAGAAAATCAACGTCGTTCATAGGCATCATAGGCTTTGCTGGAGGAATGTGAAGAAGAAAGAATGGGAGAGGAAGATGATTCATTGAGAAGAAAAAAAAAAAAGAATATGGAACTAGAAGCAATAAGAATTTGCTTATAGTTGACTAACTCGAATAAAATAATTAGTAGATTTATTCCATCCAACCCAAAATGGAAATTGGCTAGGTTATGAACTGATAATCATGGAATTGACTTGATCATCAGATTTTAAGTTCATTCCACACCGGATCAAACTGGTATAGGGTTATGTACATTCTTATTAAATCCACTTTCTGGTTACTGGTTAGCCTGGAGATCTAATGGTCCATGACAACCAGTGGGGATGATTGTAGGCACATACACAACTCTGTAGATGGGATAACCAGAATATCTCAACAATTTAAGTAATATTTTTGCACTGTAAGTTATCAGTTCTCCCCCCTTATGTTATCTTCCTCTCTTTTTTACCTTTTCCACCATTCTCATTCTTTATGTTTTAAACAAAAGATTATGACATGGTTTGCTGCTGTTATTGGAAGTAATGTGGTGGATGAATTATGGAAATTAATTGAAAGAGAGATATGGATTGAGAATACTAAAACAAAAAGACAGTATTTATACTCAAAGGAATGAGTTTTTATAGCACCGATGGAATACATCACTTTTACCTTCTTTTATCATTTTAATATGTTCTGTATTCTTTTACTTTCTCTTCCTTTTATCTACTTCCACTCTTTGCTTGTGCTTACACTTAACACACTGAGAGACCTATATTTATATTCCCAAGTTTAATACTTCATCAACCATGGGTACGATAAGCATAGTGATATCGGACTAAGGTATCCCATTTGTTTCATTGGTGCTTATGGGCCTTCATGTTCAAACACGAGGGACTCTTTACTCCAAGTTTTGTTGTCTAGATGCATATGTATAATGAAAAGTTTTTATCTCCTAGACAGTATTTTTAAACAAGTTACTCTAAGATCAGATATTAATCTTCCATCAGCCTCTAATGGAAGATCTGAGCTGTCTGTGATACCTCATAAATAATGAAAACCACACCTAATTCATTTTATTTGTGCTTGCATGATTCACAAATAAAGGTAATTTGATGCTTTATCTTATCTTTGTCTTGTTATACAAAACCAAAGTGATCCACCATTGCATTATGTTTCTTGTGATATCTTGTTCCAGTTGATGGATTTAGTTAAGTTTGCTTTCAACATGTATAACTTACAAAGCTTCTTGAGAAAGGTCTTTGAATTTTTATTTTTATTTCAATGCATTGAATTTGACGCTTTGTCCACATAATTTGCCATATTAGCCGAACATGGCTACATGAGTTTAATGTATTGATTTTTCTCCACTGCCACACTGACAAAGTGATCTACAAAAGATGTTTTCTTATATAACTTGAAACTTAGCTGTGAAATCTAATGAATACTTAAATTACAATGTTATTCTTGGAAGCTCGAATGCACATGATACAAACTGTCTACAGTGGTGTCATCATGTCTTGAAAATACGAGGGTAATTAGCAACTTTATGAACAAGTGGAGTGTGCTTTTACAATGCCTTGTTTGCATGGACTAGTCCAAGAGTCCTGAATCAGTGTGGCTGTGCCACATTCTGTTTTTATTTACAATGCTTGTTTGCATAAAGTTTCATTGTCGTGTACTATGTGGCATCAATTAAAATCAAAGGTTTGGTATGTAAATCTGATATACTATAAGGGGGTATTCTTTTTACCCATGACATGTCTCCTTGATGGTTGAATTCTTCTTTCTCTCTTAGATGAAGCACATCATTTCTGTGCTCTGGACCTCAACATTGTACATGATGTTATAGTTAAAAATAGTTAATTGTATATAGGTAAGAGCCAATTACTGGACCAGATTATCAGCAAACAAAAACAATCCTATTAGGTCACCCGATAAATCAAAATTTTGAGTTCCGTAGGCTTTCTGTTCTCACTGCAAGGTTGTGCAAGTTATGTACAGTTTCTATGCCAGCCTATGACACTTGAAGTTGTGCTAGTTTGCATAACTGATCAGGTAATGATGGTAGTTGGGGATTTGAGTCCACCAGCAAACAGTTTTCAACTCACCTGTTAATGCAGGAGCCTGAATAGGTGATGTTGTTGCTTGCTACATTATGTGTTTCTGTGATTCTTAAATCACCAGGCAACCATGTGTGTGCCTATCTGACTCTGATATCCTTAGTTTTAGCTTTAGAAAGCTTTTTGCTTAGCTTCCCTCCCTCTTTCCCTTCCTCTATCCATAATAAGATTTGCTAAAATTATCAACCAAATCTGAGACTATCCTTGCTAGAAAGACTGCAGTTTAACATGCATGGTGCATTTTGGAGATTTGTTTCTCTTTGACTTATGTCTTCCCATAATCACCCATGCAATGAGTTATTTAGTCGTGACATTGTGTTTTCTTCTTCAAAGGTTTTTTCAGTGGCCTCAATGTTAATAAAAGAAAGGGAAAATTCATGGTGTTTTGCTTCTAATGAGTTTTTAGATCAAAATAATTATAATTGGCCTATTAGCTCAGTTGGTTAGAGCGTCGTGCTAATAACGCGAAGGTCGCAGGTTCGAGACCTGCATGGGCCATAAATATTATTTTTTTAAATTAAAATTTGATTATTAGATTTATTTAATAAAGAATGTGAGGTGATGAATTTTTGTCAAGCTACATCTATCAAGGTCTTATGAGAGATTAATGGAATATCTTGAACATATTTAGACATGAATTATGTAGACTTAGTGGTCATAGTTGTTATTTTGATTAATGAAAGTTATATTTTAAGCTAAATAGAATTAAGAATGAATATAAGGTATAGTTATGATGGAATAATAAGTTTGTTATTCAATGAAAAGCAGAGATTTTAGAAGACAATGCAACTTTTCATGGAGATGGACTATGGTGACTTAATGGCCATGTTAAAAAAATATTAAACTTAAAATATATAATTAATGTTTTTTCATCAAAGACTTTTTTTTTCCAAAGCCTAGGGTTAATTATATCAAATATAAGGTGTAGTCAAGTTATTTTTTTTGTGTGTACCATTTATATTTATGTGAAAATGAGAGATTAATGAAGGCATCATGTGAGAATGAGAGACTAATGATGACATTATGAAATATGTATTATGTTGACTTAAGGCTCATA